CATATTGTACGTCTAACAAGACTGAGTCTACAGATCAGCATTTTAGAAACAAGTATAGGTTCGGATTAAACGTGTCGATAAATGTCAGACTGGTTTTGGGGGTTGGAGAATGACTTGGAAGTAACCTAACATATGTATAAAGAAGAGAATTAATTTGGCTGTTTTTAAAAAATGTTGTGGTTTAGTGATTTGGGAAGCCACTGAGGTCTTCAGGGATGATGGGTTTGGGGCAGAGTAAGACTTGTAGATTACAGGTTCCAATGGGACGATGCTGCAGCAATTTACCTGCAGGTGGCTTTCCTGCTGACCTGCTAGTGTGGCTGGCTAGTGTGGCTGAAGTTGTTGGTGTTGAGCCTGGGGGTCTATCCCTGAACCTAAGGCCTGAGTATCCGAGGGTAGTCACTCACTACTTGGTCCTCCCTGTTCAGTCCCAGTCTGTGACTCAAGGAACTGCTGTGGTAGAGGGCACTTAGTGGGTTTGAGGGCATAGTGTGACTTGTGGATTACAGGGTCTGATAGGGTGGTGTTGGAGGAGGCCATCTGCAGGCGGCTTTCCTGTTGAATGTCTAGTGCAAATGACGTGGATGGGGAAAACCAGGAGGTTTTCTTCAGTGATTAAGGATTAGAGACTGTGTTGTCCAGCTGGGGATCTGGTCATTAACAACTTTGTCCTCTCTGTACAGTTGCACTCTGTCTCTAATTAGTTATTTAAAGTTTATATCTGATGACAAAAGTTGTTGTTGGTTGTATAGAAGGCTATGCCAGCTGCGAAAATGAGTGAGAGGAATACCGATTTTTCAAAGTACACAGTCTATATAGAAATAAATTTTTACCATTATATCAGAACAGGGGGACATAAAAAGAGATACTGAGAAAATCCAGAAAATCATCAAGTCATACTTTGAAAGCCTGTACTCTACAAAATTTAAAAATATAAGGAAATGGAAAACTTCCTGGATAGATATCATCTGCCAAAATTAAATCAAGAACATATAAGCAATTTAAATAAACCTATAACACTTAAGGAAATAGATGCAGTCATCAAAAGTCCCCAATCAAAAAAAGCCCAGGGCCAGATGGCTTCAGGGCAGAATTTTACCAGAAATTCAAATTATGGCTTATACAAATTCTCCTCAAAGGATTCCATGCAATAGAAGCAGAAGGGTCTTTGCCAAACTCTTTTACAAGGCTTCAATAACATTGATACCCAAACCACATAAAGACACAACTAAGAAAGGGAACTTCAGACAAAACTCCCTCATGAACATAGATGCAAAAATACTCAATAAAATACTGGCAATTCAGATCCAAGAACACATCAGAAAACTCATCCAACATGATCATGTAGGCTTCATTCGAGGTATTCAGGGATTTTGAACATATGAAAATCTATCAATGTGATCCAACACATAAACAATCTGAGAAACAAATATCACATGATCATCTCAATAGATGCTGAAAAATCCAACGTCCCTTCATGGTAAAGGTATCAGGGGGAAGTGGGATAACAGAACATGCATACATACATAAAATCTATATACAGAAAACAGACAGCCAACCTCAGACTAAATGGACAGAAACTCAAGGTGATTCCACTAAAATCAGGAACAAGACAAGGCTGTCTCCTCTCCCCATATTTCTTAAATATTGTTCTCAAAGTTCTAGCTAGAGCAATAAGACAACAAAAGGAGGTCAAGGGGATACAAATTGGAAAGGAAGAGGCCATACTTTCACTATTTGCAGATGATATGATAGTTTACATAAATGACCCAAATAACTCTACCAGGGAACTCTTACAGCTGATTACCACCTTCATCAATACAAGATCAACTCAAAAAAATCAGTAACCCTACTATATAGAGAAGATAAGAGGGCTGAGAAAGAAATCAGAGAAACATCACCCTTTACAATTGCCACACACAAGATAAAATACCTTGGGGTAACGCTAACACAACAAATGAAAGACCTGTATCACAAGAACTTTGATTCCTTAAAGAAAGAGATTAAAGAAGACAACAGACAATGGAAAGATCTCCCATGCTCTTGGATAGGTAGGATCAATGTAGTAAAAACGGCAATCCTTCCAAAAGCAATCTTTAGACTCAATGCAATCCCCATCAAAATTACAGCACAATTCTTCACAGATCTTAAAAGAAAAATTCTCAACTTTTTATGGCTAAACAAAAGACCCAGGATATTCAAAACAACCTTACTCAACACAGCAATATGTGGAGGCATCACCATCCCTGACTTCAAACTCTATTATAGAGCTGTAGTCATAAAAACAGCTTGGTATTGGCACAAAAATAGGCAGGTAGACCAACTGAATTGAATTGAAAACTGAGATTAATTCACAAAACTATGAACAGCTGATGTTCAACAAAATTATACAATGGAAAAAAAGACAGCATCATCAACAAATGGTGCTGTAATAACTGGATATTGGCATGTAGAAGACTGCAGATAGCTCCATGTCCATTGCTATGCATAAAACTTACGTCCAAATGGATCAAACACCTCAACATAAATCCAGCCACCCTGAACCTTTTAGAAGAGAAAGTGGGAGGTACCCTTGGACAAATTGGTACAGGATACTGCTTCCTGAACATAACACCAGTAGCACAAACACTGAAATCGTCAATTAATAAATGGGGCCTCCTGAAACTGGGTAGCTTCTGTAAGGCAAAGGACACAGAAAGACAAAATGGCAACTCACAGATTGGGAAAAGATATTCACTAATCCCACATATGACAGAGGGATGATCTCCAAAATTTACAAAGAACCCAAGAAGCTATCCTCTAAAACACCAACGGACCCAATTAAAAAGTGGGGGACTGAACTAAATAGAGAATTCTCAATAGAGTAGACTAAAATGGTTGAGAGACACTTGAGAAAGTGCTCATCATCCTTAGCCATCCGGGAAATGCAAATCAAAACAACCCTGAGATATCATCTTACTCCTGTTAGAATGTCTAAAATAATAAACACTAATGACATTTTATGCTGGAGAGGATGTGGAGAAAGAGGATCACTCGGCCATTGCTGGTGGGAGTGCAAACTTGAACAGCCACTTTGGAAATAAGTATGGAGAATTCTCAGGAAATGGGAATTAGTCTACCACAAGACCCAGGTTTCCACTCATAGGCATATACTACAAAGATGCCCATTCATACAACAAGGATATCTGTTCCACTATGTTCATAGCAGGATTATTTGTAATAGCTAGATCCTAAAAGCATCCTAGATGCCCCACAACTGAAGAGTGGATAGAGAAAATGTGGTACATTTACACAATGAAGTACTACTCAGCAGAAAAAAATTTGGAAACTTGAAATTTGTGGGCAGTTTGATGGCACTAGAAGAAACCTCCTGAATGAGGTAACCCAGTAACAAAAAGACAAACATGGTATGTACTTACTCATATATGGATTTTAGAAATGGATCAGAGGAGCGTCAGTTTATAATCCCAGGACCAGTGAGTCTGAGAAACAGGGAGGTTCCCAGGAGATTTGCATTATACCCCAGAGAAGTGGAAAGAGGCAAGATCTTCTAGGCAGATTGAGAACATGGAGGGAGAGGAGAAGGAATCAGGAAAAAGAGAGGAGGATAAGAGGAGGGTAGAAGAAGACATGGGTGAGCAGTTAGGCTAACTTGGGGTAAGAATAGAGGAGACCAGGAAGGGAGATACCATAATAGTTGGAGTCTTTATAGCATTGAGGAGAGAGCTGACACCAGTGAGATTTCCAGAGATCTACAATGATTACACCAAATGGAAAACTAAGTAATTGTGGAGAGACTAATATCCCATACCTTATGATAAGGTTGATGATTTCCTTATATGACATCCTGGAATCTGCATCTAGTGACTGATGGAAGCAGAGACAGATACTCACAGATGAACACTGAACTGACCCGCAGGAACCCAGTGACAGAGATGGAGGAGTGATCAGCAAAGGGTCAAGACCAGGCTGGTGAAACCCACAAAGACAGCTGACTGCACAAGCAGGAGCTCTTGAATCCCAGACTGATGGCTAAGAGGCTAACAGGGGACTGATCCAAACTCCATGTAGTGTCAGTGAGGGGGCCTCAGAAATCTCTGGGTCCCTGGGTAGTAGATTAGTGTTCACCATGGCATACAAATGAACTTTAGGAGTCCATTCCACATGGAGGGATGCTGTCTCAGGCTGGACACATGGGAAAGGGCCTAGGTCCTGCCCTGGATGAAATGACAGACTCTGCAGATCCTCCCAAGAAAGGCTTCACCCTCCCTGGGGAAAGATGTGGGTACTGAGCTGGAGGTGAAGGATGGAACTGGGGGTGGGAGGGTTAAGGGGGGGAGCTGGGATTGCCATTTGAAGTATGCATATTTCTAATTTAAATAAAAGAAAAAGAAAAAAGAAACACAAACTATTTAGATTGGCCATCAACTAAATACATTTAATCAAAATTCATTTGTGGAAGAAAGAATATTCTGTGATCCCTGGAATCCTCGGAAATCAAAACTATTGACAGAGCATCATGAGTGCTATTGTGACTTCCTCAGGTCTGTAACTGACCTTTTCTGACCATTTTCCCTTTCATCAATTACGGCACTATCTGGTTTAACAGGTTGTCTCATCTTAAAAGGCTTTCTCATGAGTAGTTTGTTTGTTCACACTTGTGGTCCTTTCCATTAAGACAGTTTTGTGCTGTGGGACAGGTTCTCTCTGGTATTGGATGAAGTCATAATACCTGAGACTGGAGAACATCCTAAAAAATATTTTTCATCCACCTTGTTATTGTCAATGCAGTGCCTCAGATTCAAAGCCTGAAGGGAGAAAGTGTAAGAGAATTCCACAGGGGAGTGAAAAATATTTTCAGAGAGTGCTTGGGGTGACTCTATTGATAACTACAGTCACCAATAAAAGTATAAACCAGCACGCACACAGCTGTGCTTATCTATGCTGGACATTTGATATTCATGATGCTATGCTCATGGAGAGCCAGATACTTTGCTAGTATGCTATTCTCTTGGATTTTTATCTCTTGGTTTCTGCAGATTCCTACATTTGAGTGCTCCTACAACAGCATTGAGTGCTTAGTAAGAATGAATTATCGCTTAATTGGGAAAGGAAATGTACTGATTTCTGGTTTTTTTCCTGCTTATGTTATCTATCCACACAACAAATCAATTGACTGGAGGATAACTACATTTAACAGAAATTTTGTGGTTGAGTATGTCTTTTTCTCTATTTATTCATTGTGTAAATTTAGTGTTCATGTGCCCAGGGGAATTATGGATTCAAACATCATTCTCCTCTCTTAATCCTGTTAAGTCATTTTCTCCCTTGCATTCCTAGAGCTCCTCTGTGGTTGTCTTCTTAGTGACTCATCTTGTGATTTCGAGGTCAGAATGGTAATTTGGTTTTTATTCATTTTCTTTTCCTCAGGATTTAAATGTTTTCAATATTAGCTATGCTGGAGATGGATTTCATAATGGAAAGTTGATAGAGATTAGTGGACTCTAGAAGTCTAGCTTTGCTCCTTTTAGAAGATCTGATGCCTACAAAGTTAGTGACCAACAGTTCCCTTGTGTGTGAGTGGTAAATAAGGTGTTTTTGCTGCTGAATATTTGTGAGCAGGAATGTCAGAATTAGACACTGGGACCTACTCTTTAATTTAGAAATGGCTTCATCTGTTTCAGATTCACTTATCTGACTTCTAATATTTGTATAACCTGATAATTTATATGTTTACCTATTTGGCCCAAGAAAATATCATGTATATTTCTTAATTGTCATGCATAACTTTCTGTGTTCCCATTAATTGTGGTGGGGCCTCTGAGCAATGTGTCTAGTCATTATCAAAGATGCAAGATTAATGCATAGTGTCAGGCAATTCTAATTGAGTATCCTAGGTCCTGCTAAAGACAGACAAGCATGTATGTTATGGTTTAAAAGAAGTGTGGTGTATTTTATCCCAGGCCATCATGCCCATAGCTGTGGGTAACCAAACAACCATATCTCATAATAAGAAGTGAAACTTGCACTCAATTCAGAACTGAACAAGGGCAACATGGAAATACATATTCAGTAATTAGTTTTGCTGCAATGGGTGAAAAAACACCTAAAATAAGCACAGGATTGAAGGATTATTGTCTGTATGGCATTACTGTGTCTGCTGAAATGTGGTTGTGGATTAAGTCATCAAATCAGCAGTCAGAGGAAAATTTCCTTGTATGAAATGGCATTAGACATGAGGATATTGTAATAGTTTTAGTCTGAAATATACATTATGAAGGCAGCTACTGAAATTTTAATATTTGCATCTAGATAGAATATTCTGTTGAGGAGTCTACAGGCTGGAGGGATTATTGCTTACTTCAAATAAGGTTGCAAAGGTCTATGGTGTACCAGATATTTGAACTTGTATGCAAGCTAGAAGCAGACTCTTAGGCTTTACAGAAAATGTCCTTGTTCCTCTCCGTTCCCGCTCTTCTCTGTTCTCCCATCTTAGCAGCTCAGGCACCACTGTGCATCAGCCAGAGTCCCTCTCCAGGTTATACAGCAGCAACCCCACACCTACAAAAATCACACTGGTAGTTCCATGTGCTCTCTGTGGCTGGCTTGTCTAAAGTGAAACAGAAGGAAACGCTATGTCCGTGTGATTTAATCTCTTATAAAGCTGGAAATGAAACTAAAATGTGTTCACAATTATAAAATCTATAAAAGTGAATCTGGCAGTGGTGGCACACGCCTTTAATCCCAGCACTCAGGAGGCAGAAGCATGGAGATCTCTGTGAGTTTGAGACCAGCCTGGTCTACAAAGAGCTCGTTCCAGGTCAGCCTCCAGAGCCACAGAGAAACCCTGTCTCAAAAAAAGAAAAAAAATCTATAAAAGTTATTATGTTTGATTTAGACAACAAATCAAGATACACTTTTCATAGAGGGAGGCACAATAAAATCATATATTCTTCAAGCTCACAAAGGCTCTCATATATTTGGTAAATTTTTTACTTACTTGTGAGAAACTATGTATGTAATTGGAAAAGTGGATTGTTCCACCATTTAAATTTCCTCATATTCTAATTGTACCTACATAAGTAATTTACATTAATTGCCATAACTATAGAGGTTGACTGATTTAGGATGTGCAAGCTGAATTGTATCAGTGTGCATTTGTATTTTAAATACTTGAAACAACTTATTCATTAGATGAATATGTAAAGTCAAATTTAAATTTTTTTCTAATTTACTGTGGATATATACCATTTTCTATATTTTTGTAATTGAAGGATATAAGTATCTGGTTACTTGTCAATATTTTACAATGTGATGTTTATATAATATATGTATGACATTTCAATCTGAAGGTGTAAAATAGCCTGAAATTTTAATTATACAGTCTACTTATCTCTTATTGACATTAATTTTTGGTTGAATTATCAATCTAATATATTAAGGGATAAGGCATATTAATTATACTACCGCATTTTCCTTCCATAATAATTCAGAATCTCAATGATTTGGTTTTCTAAGGGAATAAAAAATTAGGTGACTATCCAGTTGTACACTGAGTTGCCTTCATTAGTGTCATTCAGAAGAATAAATATTTATTAAGTCTCTTTTTCTAGAGAATTGAAATTAGGTGAGACTAGAAACACATAGCAGCCTACGGACAATATTGCTCTTTACCTATTTTTCTACTGAAAAACTCCGTGAATTCTGACACCATTGTCACATTTCTTAAAATACTATAATTTATTAAGTGTCAAACGATAGTTTTCAGAAATGGAACATACTTTCTGTTTAATCTCACATATTTGCACCAATTATTTAAGTTTGGAATTGCCATAACTCTGTAATATTTATACAAGCACCTAAAAAGTCAAACAGCAATTAAATATATTTATCATCATGACATCCACATCTATTTATGCGGTGGAGGATATTTCATCATATGCAAAAATGTTCAGTAATTAAATTAGAGACATTAGTGTCTCCTCCATTGAACATTTTGTTGGGACATTTAAATTTAATTTTCAATAAGAAATATGTAACAAGGTAACTAGGTGTTACTTGGTTCATATATCTTTTCTATAAAGAAATTAAAAGTTTCTTGTGAAATGAAATATGTTGGCAACAGGGCATTTGGAACACAGTTCTGGGGTAATTTTACCTGTGGATGTCATCAGTTTATTCCTGATGACCCTCAATACCTTCTATCTCTTCCTTGCCAGGCAGATGGCTGGCCAGGGAAGCTGACTGATTGACTTTCATTCTTAGGTCATGCTGTAACTTATCTGATAGAGTTGTTTGAGTTAATGCAGACCATCTGGTTACACTTTTTAAAAACTACTGTAGAATTTTAATTTCTTACTTTGAGAGCTTCACACGTGTACAGTGTGTTTTCACTACAACAACCCAATTTCCATCTTCCAGCTCATGTAGAAACTGGTTCTATATAATACATTCTTACTTCCATTTTCATACTTTTTTTTGCTTAATTTTACTGAGTCCATCTAGTATCATTCACACGGTGAATGGGTATGGGTCCTTTCTTGGGAGCATAGGTTAACTACCAGTTGCCACTCCTCTAAGAAACAATGATACTCCATCCAGGTGGCCATCAATTGCCAAAAAGTCCTCAGTTTGGGGTGGGGTCTCATGAACCCCTCTCCATCTATACTGGAATTTTTATTGATATGACATGACCTCTCATAAGTCTTTTGCAAGTAAGCTTGAATGCACCAATCATGTCAATTTACAGCTCTGCTCCCCATCCCCTGGCTCTTATACTCTTCCCATCCCTTTCCTCATTATGTTCATTGGGAGATGGGGTGGGGGTTTCCACAAATGCCCCATTTAGGTCTGCGCATTCACAGTCATGTAGTCTCAATATTTGACCAATCATGAGTCTCTGCATAACCCCTGCCCACTGCAAAAAGAAGTTTTGTTGACAGAGGTTGAGAACAGCACAGAATTATGGGTATAAACATAAATATTTAGGGAGTAAGCCAACAAGATCACTTAGTAAAATAACAATAGTAGGCCACCCCTAAGGCCTATCACATCCTGATCCATGGACTTTGATGAGGACTACATCACCAGGAATGGATTCTTTCCCATGGAACAGGCCTCTGATCCTGTCTGAAAGGAGTTATTTCTCCCTCTAAGAGTTATGCCACTATTACACAAGCAGGCATGTCTTACCTGGCCAATGGTTATTTTAGGATGTAGGGTTCAGGGCTAAGTAAGACCACTGATGTGCTGGCACTTAATCTTCAGCTTTACTACAGATACTTAGTAAAAGCTTTCTCTTTCAACAAATCACATTCTAGCCATATTTTCTTGGTATTATAGATTTTAAAGTAAGACCTGGGAGTAACTTCTTCAGGGATTAGAAAAGAATTACTATGGCTAATGTAGTCATACGGTTTTCTAATATTCTTTTCAGCTTTTTGATTTTGGATTTCTGATGCAGGGATGTTTTATACAATCCAGCCTGCCCTAAAGGGCTATCTAGCCCTGACTGCCCTCAGACTTGTGTTCTTTTCTTCTTCTTCTTCTTCTTCTTCTTCTTCTTCTTCTTCTTCTTCTTCTTCTTCTTCTTCTTCTTCTTCTTCTTCTTCTTCTTCTTCTTCTTCTTCTTCTTCTTCTTCTTCTTCTTCTTCTTCTTCTTCTTCTTCTTCTTCTTCTTCTTCTTCTTCTTCTTCTTCTTCTTCTTCTTCTTTATTTAATTTGAATTAGAAACAAGTTTGCTTCACATGTCAAACACAGCTCCCTCTACCCACCCTCCTCTTCCGGCCCCCTTCAAACCTCCCCAAATCCCTCCACCACTCCCCACATTACTCTCCAAGGAGGATGAGGCCCTTCATGAGGGATCATGAAAATCTGTCATATGATCAGGGGCAGGGTCTAGGCCCTCCACCAGGTGTCGAGGCAGGGACAACCTCACTCCACTTGGAATGGGCACTCAAGTTCCAACTGCATGACAGAGCTAAATGCTGACATAATGCCTCAGGCCCCAAAGGATGCCGAGTCCTCCTCAATGACACCACTGTTGAGGGAGTCTGGATCAATCCTATGCTGGCCTCTCAGTTATTACTCTGCCTTGTTCAGGTCACCCATTTCTGTGGTTTCACCTGCCAAGTCATACCCCTTTGCTTCACACACCTCCCTCCTCTCTGCAGCTGGGTTCCAGAAGTTCAGTTCAGTGTTTAGCTATGAATGTCT